CCAGAAGGATGCTATGGCTGAAACACTGGCAGGCTGATGCCAAAGCCAAATGGCGTCTAGCGACTGCTCCCTATCTGGGCAATAATCTTTTTGGGGAGGCCCTGGCCCCCTACCTTGTGGAAAACAAGGACAAGCGGAAGGTCATGGCTCACTTGAATAAATGGTCCGACAAACGTCCCGCTCCCTATTTTCGTAGGCAGTCCTTTCGGCCGGCAGCAGGTCCAGCAGTTACTCAGCCCTCCCGCTCATACACCCCCAGACAGGACAGACCGTATGACCGTCCATATGACAGGCCAGGCTTTCGGCCCAGGCAGCAGAGCCAATCTAAGCGGCCATTTCAAGGGGCAGGACGCCCCTACAGGAGGTCCAAGTGACTCTCACACTACACTTCCCATTGGGGGAAGGCTGGCCCACTTCTTCCATCAGTGGGAACTCACTTCCACGGACACCTGGGTCTTACAAGCCGTCCAGTTTGGTCTGTCCCTGGAGTTTCTAGCCAGTCCCCCGGACTGCTTCATCTCCTGTCCCATCTCCCAGGATCCACTCAAACAGGGACTTATGCAGGAGGCCATTCAACATCTTCTAGAGATTCAGGCCATAGAACCAGTACTGCCGGATCACATGGCAGGGGGATTCTACTCCATCCTTTTCATGGTCCCCAAGACCTCGGGGGGATGGAGAGTGATTCTAGACCTCAAAAGTCTGAACTATTACATCACTTACAAGAAGTTCAAGATGCAATCACTCCAGTCCATCCTGGGGGGCATCAGACAAGGAGACTTCCTGGCATCAATAGACCTCACTAAAGCGTATCTCCACATTCCCATCCATCCAGCTCACCGGCGGTTCCTCAGGTTCTGTTACAGGGGCAGTCATTTTCAGTACAAAGCCCTTCCCTTTGGCCTCTCCTTGGCACCCAGGGTGTTCACCAAGATCCTGGCTGTACTAGCTGCCCACTTGAGGAAGGTACCGGTACGCGTCCAGTGTTACCTGGACGACATCTTGATTCAAGCGTCCTCCTTCCGGGCAGCCCAGTCGGATCTGGAACTCACTATTCAGGTCCTCCAACAGCATGGTTTCTTGGTCAATTTCCAAAAAAGCCAGACGGTTCCCTTATCCAGGCTTCTGCACCTGGGAGCGGTCATAGATACCACCAACTGCATGGTCTATCTCTCCCAGGAGCGGTTGGTCAGCATCAGGGTCCTGGCTCATCGGGTGTATAGGGACCGCACTGTTCCGCTGGTCTTACTTTCCCAGCTTCTGGGAAAGATGGTCTCTTTCAATACTATAGTCCCCTGGGCCAGACTCCATTTGCGGGACCTTCAATGGTTCCTACTACCATTCCAGCGAGTGAATGCCAGCGCGTCCCACCGTCAGGTCAGGCTCCCGGATCACATCCTCAGGTCTCTACACTGGTGGTTCTCACAAGTGGTGACCAAGGGGTCACCCTTCAAGGAACCGGACTGCATCACCATTACAACGGACACCAGTCTATTCGGTTGGGGAGCCCATCTGCAGTCTCTGTTTGCGCAGGGCCATTGGTCCCGCGCAGACTTGAGACACAATATCAATTGGCTGGAGCTCAGAGCCTTCCATTTAGCTCTTCGCCAATTCAGGCACTGGATCAAGGGCCGTCACGTATTGATCCTCACGGACAACGTGGCGTCCAAGGCACACGTCAACTGACAGGGGGGCACCAGGTCCAGGTCCCTTATGTCCGAGGCACGGCTACTGGGTTCCTGGGCAGAATCCAACCTGGCCTCTCTCAGGGCCGAATACATCTCGGGGGTCAAGAACCAGCAGGCACACTTTCTGAGTCGCTCTACGGTGGACCCCTCGAAATGGGGGTTACATCCGGATCTGTTTTCCGAGATCTCCCACAAGTTCGGCCATCCGATCCCTTTGCGTCGCTATTATCTTCCAGGGGCGGAAGGGATGGACGCCCTGCGGACTCGGTGGCCACAAGGTCTCCTTTATGCCTTCCCTCCCCTCCCACTCATCCCAGCGACCATCCACAAACTACTCCAGGAGCAGGCGGAAGTGATTCTCGTGGCCCCATACTGGCCACAGAGGCCCTGGTTTGCCAACCTGATGAATCCTTCCCGGTCTCCTCCATGGAAGATTCCTCCGCATCGCATCTCCTTGCACCAGGGGATCCTCCAACACCCGGACCCTCAATGGTTACAGTTGACTGTCTGGCGCTTGAGCGCAGCATCATGACACAAGAGTTATTTTCCCCACGGGCAATTACCATGATTCAGGCCTCTCATTGCCCGGCGACCAATCGCATTTATGATTCTACTTGGAAAATTTTTTGCCATTGGTGTAGAAGGCGACAACTGGATGTCTACAAACTGACCATCCCTCAGATCATAGATTATCTTCTGGACGGCCTGGATAGAGGCCTGGCCCCTGCGACCATTCGTAGGCAGGTGGTGGCCCTGTCAACATTGCTCACTTGTGCGGATTCAGTTCCCTTAGCTCATCATCCTAGAATATGCGCCTTCATCAAGGGTGCAAGCAACACCAGGCCTCCTGTGGTACACAGGTACCCCTCTTGGGAGTTGCCTCGCGTGCTTCGCGCTCTAACAAAACTGCCCTTTGAGCCCATTGCCACTATTCCATTGCGGGCCTTGTCTCTTAAAGTTGCATTCTTAATTGCCATCACATCAGCCAGATGTATCTCCGAGCTAGCTGCTCTCTCGGTCAGGAATGACCTTTGCATCTTCCACCGAGACCGAGTGGTCCTTCGGTTGGATCCCACTTTCGTGCCCAAGGCCAACTCGCTCTTCCATAGGGCACAGGAAGTCATTTTACCAAATTTCTGTCCCAATCCTTCCCATGACTTGGAGCGGCAGTGGCATACACTGGACGTCCGCAGGGCCCTGCGACGTTACATCAAACGCACGGAGACTTTTCGCAGATCTGAGGCCCTCTTTATTTCCTTCCATCCGGCTTCTCTGGGACAGAAGGTGTCCGCTGGCACCATAGGCAGGTGGATCAGGGCCTGTATAGCAGAGGTGTACCAGTCTTCTTCTCTGCTGGCTCCAAGTCACCTTACAGCCCATTCCATTCGCAGCGCTGCGACATCTGCGGCATGGGCCACTCAGGCGTCCATCGAGGAGATTTGCAGGGCTGCGACATGGTCTTCGCCCTCCCCATTCGTACGCCATTACAGGATAGACTGCTTCGCTTCCGCGGATGCCTCCTTTGGTTGGAGGGTCCTTCAGCAGGTGGTCTCCGGGGACGTTGTTCCGGCCTAATTCTGTTTCCCACCCATCGGGACAGTGAGGCTTTGGTATGTCCCATTGGTGGATTCTCCATCTCCTGTACTGGAGAAGGGGTGTTATCTTACCTGAACGCCTTTTCTCAGTACAGAGATGGAGAATCCACACCCACCCTTTAGGTCAGTTAGGCCGATATTAAGGGATTGAGAGCCAACACCTCGTCCACCTTCAGCCACTTTCGCCCTCGTCAAGACTGGATCTCCTAGCAAGAGGGGGCATGTCAAGTTTGGCTACTTGGTCTCAGGAGCAGGCAGACAGAAAAGACCCATTGGTAGATTCGCCATCTCTGTACTGAGAAAAGGTGTTCAGGTAAGACAACGCCCCATCTGGTTCATCATTATTTGAGACTGATTATTTTAAAGAAGGCCATCCTTCTCTTGAAGGAGCATGTGGTGTGACTGCAAGGTTTTAGCCTCTTTTGTTTTTAAGCTTTTTTATTGTCATGTGAAATGAATGTCAAAAGAGGAATATGTAGAAAAGCAGTTTGAAAATGATCAACAGGAACCAGAAAAATATATTTCTTTCTTGCCTTTTAACGGTGAAATGAGAATAAAACAGATTTACAACCAAGAAAACAGCCTTTTTAGTACTTTGTTCTTTTATGAGCCCGACTAAAAGCATGATTTTTAGCAAATATCAAAAACTAACAAAAAACTTAAGAGCATCATCTAGTGATTGTAGTTTTCCATTAAACATGTGGCGTTTGAAAAGTGATCAAAATGAAAGATGCGTATAAGATGAAAATGAAATAGGTTATATTTAGGCTGACTTAAAAGTCAATTTATGTCTCTTTCAGTTTTCTCAGTAGAAATAGGCTTGAAATAAGGATTTACATATATTTCATTTTAAGTTCCAATTAATTTTAAGTAGGATCATCTAGAAACTGATCAGTAAGAGCAGGTGGCACCAAAACCATTAAAAGATCTTTAAAGGATCATTCCTGCTAGAAGCAATTTGGCTTCATAAGATCCTGTTCCTTGGGTTACCCACTATTGTTCTCTTTAGAGTCATTTACTCTGTAAAGGGATAGACAAATCCTAATGGTAATGTTGTTGAACTACAGTTTACTGATTTATTTATCACATTGGTATATCATATATTATCAACATGCATCAATAAACAAGTATCCAGTCAATAAGGAATTAATAAAGACGAAAGTAGCAAGTAACTTCAATAGCAAAACATTAAATATTGGATAAGTCCAATCCAAAAAATCCCATGGTGTCACTATGAAAATTCATGGGAAAGAATGAAATATAATCATGCTATTTTGGAAGAGACCAAAATGTAAAAATATGGGTTTTCTGTTTTCATTCTTAAACAGTTTGCTGGGGCAGCCCAACAAGGGAAGGAATTCCATAGCATTGGGGCCATCACTGAGAACGCCCTGCTGCTAGTAGACTCCCTTCCAGGATGGACATGTAGAAAGTCTTTAGTCAAAGATCATAGCTTCTGGAGCACAAATGATAGAAGCCTTAACTATTCTTTAGCAACCGAGTGATACCAGTTGCTTGATATCAGGTCCCAAGAACCAAGAAAGACACATGAGTGCTTCTGTGCACATTCCTGTGTTGCTCCTCACCTATAAATAGTTTTTACTTCAGTTGGTAAGATTTTATTTGCAGTACTATAGATATATTCCGAGAAATGTATTTACATTTACAGATTTTATTCATTATTTATTTTTCTCCTCCCAATTTTTTTTTTTTATAGGTAGCACTAGTTTTTCCCAATAATGATCCTGCAGCTTTTATGGTAGCATTTTATGGCTGCCTTCTTGCAGAAGTTGTTCCTGTTCCTATTGAAGTGCCACTTACCAGAAAGGTAAGAGAAAGAAGTTTTTAGTTATCTTAGCAGGAATTAAGGTCAGATCTCAGGACATAATCTCTGAGCATTTTAGAAGGAAATGAAAAATGACAATATGCATTGTTGCTTTAACATATTTATGAAAATATATCATATTTAATACATGTCATCAGAATGTGTTTACCATCTGTGTATACATGTTCTGATGACTTTGCCTTAACTCGATTAGGAAGCTCACATGGACTTAACTTTTTAAATATTATTTTAGGACAGGTTTAAACTGTAGGTACTATTAGCTGAATGCTAAATAGGATTTGACCATCATTGAAAAGAACCAGTTTTTTTAGGGTTGCGTTCTATCCCCCTGGTCTGTAAGGGACTAGTTTTGCATTCAAAAATAAAAGGGTTGATTGCACGTAGAACCATGAAAGCTGTGAGAAAGCTTTGAGCTATATTTTCAATTTATTTATTTTATTTATTTTATTTATTTTATTAATTGCATTTATATCCCGCCCTTCTCCTTACGGACTCAGGGCGGCTGACAATTGAATAAAATACTAACATATATACATACTTAATTAAAATTTGATTAAAACGAAATATTTAAATATGTCCAATTTAAAAGTAATTAAAACCCCCTTTAAAATCCCTCAGGCCAGTCCCGCTAGTTGGAACAGCNTCAGGGATCACCCTGATCTCTGGGGGCAGTTCGTTCCAGAGGGTGGGGGCTCCCACAGAGAAGGCCCTCCCCCTTGGGGTCGCCAGCCGGCACTGTCTGGCTGACGGCACCCTGAGGAGACCCACTCTGTGAGAGCGTACAGGTCGGTGGGGGGTAATCTGTGGCAGGAGGCGGTCTCGAAGGTAACCAGGTCCGATGAGTTGAAGCCTAATATTAAACAAAACTTGAAGGGCAGGAAAGACGGTAGAAGCAGCCTTAGGAAGATGCTGAAGGCAATAGTGTGTGATGGAGCCCATCACCAATCATACCATTTTTTGTGATGAACAGAATTGTTTAAGGTGCCTTGTTGCGCAAGGTTTCTCCTTTCCTACTGTGGCATGGCCCTGGGAGGGCACCATGAATAATAACTGGTTGGAATACTTAGAAAAATAGCTTTAAGAGAATTATCTAGAAAGGTCAAGATTTATTTGGATTTAAGTGAAAAAAAATCAAGCAGTGCTGATACTACAAGAAGTAGGCTCCCTGAACTTTGCAAGAATTATCTTTTTCTTATATCTCTGGGCTATTTTCCGTATAGGCAATTTATTCTTTAAAAAAATAGAGCTGATTGGGAACGTGAGCAATGAGTAGTCATTGCAACTTTGCTATTTCTTAAGTGGTACTTCGTATGACTAGGATCTTTACAGAGCTAGTCCAGTGGAATTAAGAGTGGTGAACCAGCTGCATAATTAATACATTTTTGGATGATAAGATATTCACTATGAATTTCTAAGGTGGTCCAAAAGACATATATGGCTTTAGAGACTATCAGCATTGTTTGGGTTCGGTTAAAAAAAGAATGCTTCTTGTGTGGTTTTCAAAGAATTCTAGGCAGCTCAATGATCAAAATAACAATAAACACATTTTTGAAAACAGAAAATATTGAAATAAGTAAATGATTAAAAACTGTTGGCAGTTGTATTGCTAATAATAGTTTCTAGCCATGATTTGGCTGCATATTAAGTTGAAGGTCTTTCTTTATATTTTTAAACCACAATGGAATGCCATATATTGATTTGGAAATTTTATAACTCAACAAGAAGTCCCTTATTTCTCTTTTTAGGAAGTTCAAGTTTTCTGTGCATTGGCATGTTGGCTAGGAATAATCTGCTTATATGTAGCCCTCTGGGAGATTTGCCATGAAGTAAAATGCAAAGGCTGAAGGCAGGATAAGTGACCTATGCTTTTAGCAGATAATTTAATTTATTGGGGGAGACAACCTCTCATGAAGACTTAAATAAATGTTTCTAGATGCAGGTATCAATTATATAGCCCCCTCCAAAAAAGCTAGATATAACCAGGGTTGTGGACTATGGGCCATATACAGCAAAGTCACACCCTCTTGCTACTTTGATTAGTAATCTTCTGGCATTTGGGCTGTGTGCATGTCACAAACATACAGAAAAGTGGTTAGATTTCCATTCCAGTTCTGAAAATCTGCTTATGTCTCTCTGACCAATCTTGCCTGCCTTTGCAGACCCATCACTGGCTATATGTGGTTCACACCACTCTCTTTGCATTCCCTAATCTGTCCGAGCTTAAAGCATTTCAATTCACCAAAAGTTAACAGTGCAGTTTGCAGAAGTGGGAATGGTTTTCCAGGTGTGAATAGAAGTGAGTTCCCTGTGAGAAGCCTCACATTTCCAGTCCCAACTTTTAAAGTCCCTTCCTCCTTTTAAAAATATGGTATGTCCCTCCTGTGAGCTCACAACAGAATATCAGGTGCCTTACAGTCTGTCAAATATTGCTCACTTCTGCTTTATACATAAAGAGGCATGATGTCTCAGCGGTTAAAGACTCAGCTTGTCAGCTGAAAGCTGACAGCCTGGATTCAAGACCCAAGCACCATGAAGCTGGTTGAGCTCCCAATTCTTGCCCCAGTTCCTGCCCACCTAGCAGTTTGAAAACATGCAAATGAAAATAGATTAATAGGAGCACTTTGTTGACATGACCACTTTGGGAGGAATACAGCTCCATGTGCCTTTGGTGTATATAGCCATGCTGGCCCCATGACCAAGGAAAATGTCTTCGGACATAACTGAGTAGGAAAACCTTACCTTTATCCTTGCTTTATACATAGCAGGGTAGCAAGGATCATTCTCTAACACAGTGCTTGCCAAAGCTGGGTAAATTACCCAAAATTGGGTAAAAGTAGCTTTTCTTTGAGTAATAGGGTCGTGTGCCCTTATACAATCACATTAAGTACATTTAAATAAGGATTTTTTGATTAATGGATAATGAAGGAAAACATTTGGGAAACACTGCTATAACAGCTTCAGAGAAATGATATCTATTAAACTTTCCCTCTTCCCTTCCCTTCTCCTTGCATAAAAACTTTGTAAAGCACAAATGCCTTTCCGCATTTGACAACTAGCTGCTAAGTTTTTCATCACACTTTTATTTTGCATATATGTGAAAAGATACCACAATAAATTAGTGTCCCCTCAAAAGTATGCTAAAAACATTTTGTAGCTTGTCCTACCTGTTGAAATTCTTGCCAAGATTAGTTTTATAAAAAAAAAACCACCAAACATTTGTGTAAACAAGCATCATGTTTTCACAGAAATTACTGAAAAGGCAATTGCATGTTTTGAAAAAGAGAAATGGCAGCAAGGGCCTAAGTCTCTGGTTAATTAAAACATTTGTAACGGGGTTCTATATATAGCAGGTGTTGGAAGACAACCAATGAGCTGAATATTTTGGTTCATCCTCACCTCTGCTGCTCAAATTTTACCAGACTGCCTGAAAGTTCTGCCATTTAATTTTTCAGACTCCAGCCTTTAATTCTTCTCTTGTCCCTCAGTTATTCAGTCTCCCCATGATCATCTTGCATGCCTCAAAATGGCACAGTTATGAGAAAAAGAATTGTTCATCAAATAAAACTATACATGTGTACAAACTATATAGTGGGAAAGAGTTGGACGAATGATGTGGAATATCATTCCTGTGGCTTTGACTAATGTGATACCTAATATATGGTTGAAGAACCCAAGAGCACTTGCCTGGGGAAATTCTCAACATTTAGGTTTCTTTTTCCCATCTGCAGAGAACTTCAGCACTACATACAGATTTTATATGAGAGTCCAGCCCTTTCTAACTCACTGGTTATTCTGCCCACAAGATTTCCAATACATAGTGGTTTTCTTATATCAGATACTGGGAAAGCAGACAATGTTCAGTATGCTAATTTAAAAACTCTCGTTCTGTATTGCTGTGTGTCATGACTGAAATAAGTGATACCCAAAGTTTTTAGAGCAGGCATGTTAAAAGAATTCAAGAATTATTTTCCTGTAGAGGCATGTTGGCTTAGTGGCTTAAAAGACACCTGAGAAGGTCTGTGCTCTGGTGGTCCGATCCTACCACAGCATGATGGAGCACTTGCCTCATTTCCTGCCAACTAACAGTTCAAAAGCATGTAAACGGAAGCTTACAAAACAGGTATCATTTCTGTGAGAAGGTAACAGTTTTCCTTGCTTTGCACTGCAGCATGATGGCATGCTGCCACTTGACTTGCAAACATTTTTGCACAGTGCTGGCTCAATAGCCTAAAGAAACATGGATGGGCACCAGCCTCTAAAGTCGACTACGCCTAGTGGAGTAAAACCCGCAGGAACTTCTTTATGTTTGCCTTACCATCTTATATTAAGGAACTTCTACAGCACCTTATTGCACCTTACACCTTTATTCCCGCTCATAAAAATGTGGCCAGATAAGAGTGGTGGGTTATATTAAACTTATTGATTTGGGAATAGCATGCTTTAGAGAAGTATAGAATTTTCCAATTTGAGCCTTCTCTAGTGAACAGTAACTTAGATGCTTGGCAAACACTTGTTCTGATTTCTAGTCTTCTTTCCAAGCCCTCTTTCTCAGCTCAAGAAAAGCAGCCCTTTACTTCCCCTCTGTTTCAATCAACATGACTAGTGATATAGAATCACTACTTTTTTGAAGATTATCCTGTGGTTTACCTTAACCTGCCCCGAGCCTCTTTTTAAAACACCGTTTCCCACCTTGCACATCTGTGAATATCAGTCCTAAGAATTCCTCAGCCAGTATGACAGTTGAGAACTTAGAGAACTGATGTCCATGTATTTTTAAGGCATCCAAGTTGGGCAAATACGTTTACTGCATCTGTCTGCCTCTTCTTCCCAACTACTGAAGTACCTTTATGACTCTTACTATCCCGTGTCTGCTATTTTCTCTTAACTTCCTTCCTTCTTTCACCATTGCTGTCTACTTCACTACTACTTTGTAGTGTATTGTATGTATAAATCTCCCCCTAATGCTAATATTTTGGAGTGATAGGATTATAACCTATCCTTAGATTCCATTAGGCCTATATGAGTTAATCTGAGGACACAAATAGTCTTTAAAAGCTCTTCTTTCACCTTGAAATGAAGGTGAAAGATGGTCATAAAGTTCTTTAAGCTTGAGAACATAGATTTTTATCCTACGATTTTCCCCAGTCTGTTCCTTGTCTTCGAATGGGTCATTTCCTAGGTGATGATGGAAGTGAAGTTCCTGAAAATTCATCTCTCTGATACAAGAGCAGAAGCTTCACAAGACAAGAACCCCTTACATATGTATGATATATAAGCAGCTGAAAAACTTGAGATGTTGTGATATATAATTACTGTCCTCAGCTTGTAAAGACAAATCTCATTTAGGTTTATTTTCAAGCTAAGTAAAGCTGTGCCCTGTAGTATGTTTTAAAATGGACTCTTGTCAATGCTGCCTTTTTGTTTTAGAGAAAGTTCAATAATCTTTTGGATAACATATAGCATTCCGAAAGAAACATACCACTACATTTTAGAGAAACGTTCATATCATTTCCCCCCCAAGGACATTCTTTTATGCTTTATCTCTTCTCCCCTCTTCCTATCTCTTCTTTCAAAACGAGATAGTCACAACAAAATCCATTGCATCTGTTGGTTTTCATGGACATTCTTTCTCTTATAATTGCTCTGATGTTGCAGAAGCTCTGCATGGCAGAGAAACTGTTGACAAAATAATAGGGCGGGGTGGAGGGGTTGACTTTCCTTCTTTTTAATTAAAACCTGGCCAGTAGCTGAGTAACAATAAGAATACTGGCAAGGAAAGGCAAATCCCCTCCTTTAATTTCTTAGCTTACCATGATTTCCAAAATATTTTCTATAGCATCCATTTGCAGCCCATTCATGCATTTTTGCTAGACTACTTTTTTGAGAAATATATAGAAAACAGAAGCTGGGAAAGAAAATCTGTAGATGTATAAAATATTATTTATTAAGCATGCATATATATTTGCATTACACTATTAGACTCCAGATGTCCAGCAGAGTATAAATTGGACCCAGAGAAGACTGTTGAGAGTATATATTGGCCTAAGGAATATTATTTTGTGTACATGGACATTTCTTTGTCTTATTTCTGTGTTTTTATTTCCTTTTTCACATCAAGCTACACAAAGAAAAGCATATACACTATGTTGTTTGAAGTAAGCTCTCTCAATGTAGTGTTCTCTGGTTAGCCACACCTTTCTACACCCTTTGTAGCCTAGATAAAACATTGAGTTAGTCCTGTTGATTACTTCTTGGTTTAAAGACAGATGAAGTCCTATTTGTCATTGTCTTGGGGCAATAGATGTACTTTAATTTTCTTTGGGGTATTAGAAAAATCTTGATGGGGAAGCTGTAGATGGTAGAGACTGACAACCCAGGAATGTTTGTATTCAGGATCAGAGTGAATAATCTAGGTCTAAGTAACCACTGGCATGATTTGAAAATAATGAGATCTGTCAGCTAGATTTATTCACAATAAAGGAAGTAACAGCCCACAACCTTCCCTCCAAAAGACACCCTACATTTTCGGGATTCCAGCAAGGGATAAAAGCGGTAGACAATTGTCAGTCCTAAGCTAATGTAGGATGTATTTTAATATTTATGCCAATTTTGATTAATGCCTTTTAAACTTTGTAAATTTTTTAGGGCCTGGCTAAGTCATGAATCTCCTTGGGCTACTGATAGCACAGCATGCACAGAATTTTTCCCCAACTGGCATGATTTCATCCTCTTTGTCTCTTTCTATTTATCTTAAAAAGGGTACTCCTCCTTCTGTCTGGATTTTCATAGAAGCCAAACCAAATGAGAGCTCATTTCTGAAGACTTTTCTTGCAAAAGTATGTCTTTAACTTTGCCAAGCTGGAAATACATATCTCATAATTACTTTAATCATAAGAAAATGCAAATATAATTGAGAATTTGTTGGGTGCCTGAACTTTGAAGTAATTATACAAATCTGTCATAAACCAGTTTCTCATCCCAATATATACTTTAAAAATCAGCATATACAAACCCAACTGTGTAATTAAATACTATTTTAAAAAAATCTGACTACAGAGAGATTGATGCTAGGCTCTAAATGTGGGGGACAGTATAATGCATGTCTTTCCCCTAGAACCGATAGCTTTCTAACAACTTTTAACTATACATAAAAAAACAAGCTTAAGTTGTTGAGCTATTGGACAAAATAGATCTATATCTCAAGACCTTTCTTTTACTATCTCGATAGTCACAAAACCTCCATTTCTGCTTTTTGTTTGCTTCAGATTTCCAGTGCCTAATGTCTTTGTAATGCAATGAAAGTCTTGCTGTAAACTTATCTATTCTGTTTTGAAAACTGTGGTGTCTGGCTATTGTCTGGTGCATCTTGAACAGATACTGGGGTATAGTGATGGACTTTATCTGTATATTTTATGCTGTTGTATCTTGTTGAGTACTTGTGACTTGGCCAAATTGAAACAGAGAAACTGAATATTGTTGATGTAGAGTCATTGTTTTTTCTAACTAGAGTTTTCCAAGGTATAAATTTTGTGTTAACCTCAGTGAGTAGAGAAGAGGAAATATTACAAAGAAATAACTTTTTTTTAAAATGCTATAGTTGCTGTAATGTTGTTGATTTTTGCTTGGGGTTTCACAGAATTCAAGTGCCCCTAATTCTGTTGGGATAATCCAAATTCAACAGGCCTTTGTAAGTGAAACTGGTGAGATAAGGCAATATATGAATGTTAAATATTGAGCAGTTTGTGGCTTAATGTATGGTATGAATCCGGCCAATACAATAGTTTATGATTCAATAGGATGCAAACATTGTCACAGAATCAAACTATTTTAAAAAATTGGTGTCCAATAATGGTCAGCCCAAGATATCTGGAAGGCAATTAAAATAACAGGTGTTGCATGTCCCTCCTTTTGTTTTTAGACATAATTTGCTGAACCATTATGGCTATTAGATCTCTTTCCCATAAACTTATTTTTCCTTTTCCTTTGGATTATCTAACTCAGAAGTCACCACCACATCCTGTAGCAATAGATTCCCTGCTCAGTTAATGCAGTCTAATGCTTTTCCTGGTTTGGAATCTAATACTTGCCTTTTATAGATAAAGAAAAAAAATCTGCCTATCTAGTTTGTGGATTTCTTTGTGCCCATATTTGTTTCCGGTTTTTATTCTGCTTTTCTTCTCTCTGTTATAAATTGCCCACCAAACATCAGGTTGTAATTTCAAAGATTGGAAAGGTTGGGGTCTTCCTGATCTGATTTTTGCTTTTTAAAGAAAAATACAATTCTCTGTATTAAATATTTTATCAAAAAATGTTCTTACAAAAGCACTGAAGCGTTGAAAGCCAAGGACCTTGATCAAAACATAATAGATGTCTTTAAAAAAAATTAGTTGACTAAGTAAAGCAAATGTTAATAGCTCAGATATATTTTAAAGGAAAGTTTTCATTACTGCTTTTGCATTGATTCACTTAGAAGCTTCCCCCCCCCCTTGCTTTTTCTTCAATTAGGATGCAGGTAGCCAACAGATCGGCTTCTTGCTTGGAAGCTGTGGTGTTACTGTAGCCTTGACTAGTGATGCATGCCATAAAGGGCTACCTAAAAGCCCTACAGGGGAGATACCACAATTTAAAGGTAAGTTTGTGCAGGGTTAATTCAGTACCATATGCCATGTGATTTCATGTCCATTATCCAATGATGAGCAAAAGTAGAGAATTGTACTAATTAAAAGATGCAAAAGATGTCTGAATTTCTATCTTCCAAAGCTGTGTAATTATCAGATCAGTACTGTCTATCTTGCCTGTTCTAACCCAGTATAACTGGGTATAATTGTCATTTAAATACTGTTGAGAAGTGCCCCACTGACCCTTATTGTCTCCTGGCAGGATAAGGTTAAATAGAACAGTTCACTGAAGCCAACCCACAATCATCCTGTCTTCCACAGACTTTGAAACACAAAGCTTTTCTTCCAACTGATCAGTAGAACAATGTTCTTCTTTCCATGTAGTCTTCTGAACTACCATGGGTCCTGGAGTAACAAAAATTCACTCATTCTCAGCTTTGAAAAACAAAATTTGCTAGCAATTATTCCCTTTCATATTTTGTTCTGGGCATGCCACAGGAGGATGTGTGTAAAATGAAAAATGAAAAAAGAAACATTCATATTGCTTTCACTCTATCACTCTCGACACTTTTCAAAGTTTCTGAAAGGGAGGTGGTGGCATGCCAGCTGCTTGGCGTGGGGAGAGAGAGAGAGAAGGACAGGCTCCAGGAACAGGAAGTTGATCCTCTATGGCAGTGGTTCTCAACCTGTGGGTCGGGACCCCATTTGGGGTCGATCGGCCATTTCACGGGGGTCGCCAAGCAAGGCTGTCTGCCATTTTTTTTGTCTGCCATTTTTTTTGTCCACCATTTTTTCCCCTTTTCCGGTGGGTGCCTTACCTCCCTTGGGCTGGGCCAGCTGGTGGTCGGCCTGCTCCGTCTCTGCCGCTTGCCAGCTACGCCTCGGCAGGCTCAGGGGGCGGAACCACACATGCGCGGCGCTCCTGGGCAGGGAAAGTCCTCGACTTACGACCGGTTGGGTAGTCCTCGACTTACGACGGGTTTAGTCCTCGACTTACGACGGGTTTAGTCCTCGACTTATGACCGGTTGGGGTCGCGGCATTAAAAAGGTTGAGAACCACTGCTCTATGGGCAGTATAGTCAAACATTTCCAGTGCCTATTTAAAACTGGGGCCAAACTCATGCTGAGAGTGCACAACAAGAATTTGATTTTATATCTAACGGTTCCAGCATTTACTGATCTTTAACAACTCAGAGATAGCAGAGGAGAACACTTTCCATAGGTCATTTTTATTAAAGAAATGTGGACCACAGGATTGCATGATGGCTTCTGTTATTTTTTAAAAAGTTGCTCTATGTTTGTTTCTAAGGCTGGCCAAAACTGCTGTGGTTTGTGACAGAATCGAAACACCTTTCGAAACCTCCTCGAGATTGGTTCCCCCACATCAAAGATGCAAACAATGACACAGCTTACATTGAGGTGAGTGCAGTGTTTGTTCATTCATATTCACATGTGCATCATTTCCATCTATTACTCTGAGTCCAGATTAATAGCGGATTAAATGTTTTAAGTAAATATATTGCAATGTACTTATTAAATAGTGAAGCATATATGAAACATCTCCATTCCTATGCAACTATAGCAATCTGCACTTGTATAACATTGTTGGGGAAATTTAAAAAAGCTTGATATCTCAATTCAGCTAAATTTGTATAGGGTCACCCCCCCAATCTTTGAACGGCAACATGGATAACCATTTTAGTGGCTGCATATTTGAACTTATGTTTATAGATACAATAAATGTTTGCTTTAAGAATTAACGAGAAGGAAAGACTGGCTTGTAGACGCCAATGGGATTTTACACTGCTGTCTGTGTAAAATCACAAATAGAATTAAACATGCCTAGAGGCATAAAATTTAGTCAGATTTTTGTCTGCTATATCTGAAGTCCACTGAATCAAAGTCTATTGAATCAGAAGTTTTCTAAAAAACAGCAGTGGAAACTTCTCAATAAAAGCTAATTTGAAAAGTTCCAGAGTGCAATGGCATGTGCAAAACTCTGTAAAAGATAGATGCAATAGAAGTGCTTTAAATAAACAAGGAAGGAAACTGAATACTTCATAATATTTTTCATGAATTAAATATCAGGACAACGGATGCAGAGGCTGAAATAGTAGCACTCAGCAGACTTTTACAGGGAAGGGATGGGTACTGAAGTGTATAGAAACATGGGAACTATGTTTTATCATTAGACAGTTTGACAACTCTTGACAGATGTTCTTTTTAGAAGCTAGTGGGACTATATTATTCAACTTTACTTTTAGCACATATTGCTGGTTTACAATTCCACAGAAACAAAAGAAAGACATTTCTTTCCAAAATATGCTTGTTAACTTACATGGACTCCTAGTTCACCTCTATTTGAAAGGTTTAAGCAGAGGAACACAAAAATAAATGCTTAGTATCAAATCCTATATTAAGCAGGCAAAAGCTTACATGGCTTCTTTTAGAGGTTGGCCACAGGAGCTACATGAAGGGCCCCATGTGCTTCCAAGCCTCCTTTTGAATCTGAAGAGCTTCATCGCTATAGGTACATATATTTAATTGTGGTGTTACAGCAAAAAAGGCAAATGCAATTTTAAATTGCATTCATTGAAGTCATTTGCAGTCACGAGAGGCCATAATTCAGGTTCAGTTTCTGTGCTGGTCAGACTCCATTTCAAGGGTGATATCCAAGTTGGGAAAAAAAATCAAAATAGGTTCAAATATAGGTAGCAAAGAAGATTTCATTTGAGAGGTAGAGATTGCAGGAGGAAAGGACTTTTGAAATATTTAAAGGGGTGTCACACAAAAGCAAGCTGCAAACTGTTCACTGTTGGTCATAATGCAGAAACTGGAACTAGTTAGGAAAAGCTTATTAATGGTAATAAGCTTTGATAATGAGTCTGTTTCCTAGGGAAGAAATAGGCTGCCTTTTCAAGCAAAAACTAGGCAGCTTTCTAATGGAGATACTTTAATTCGGATTTCTGTAGTGATCGGGGGGCGTCAATAAGATTGTTCAACCATTAAGGCAAACTAAGTATTGATATGAGAATTGGGTCTTCCCCTCCCCTAAACTGCTTAGTCTGGATCTTTAGGGAGCTAGAGGATAAGGATATATAGATAATTAGCAGGATGATATGAATGGAGAGAAACAGAGAATGGGAGCTTGGTTATTGAATAAAAAAACAGCTTTGGTTGATGACCTAATACTGAATGGTAGACATCAGTAAACTTCTGAAATACACAGTAAGAGATTTTTTTTAAGGTGTACAATTTACAACCATCGCAAGGTACGACCATCATGAGTTAAGAGCAGACTCCCTTACGGTAATTCAAGGACTATTTGTATTTGAGGTTTGAGGACTCAGTGGGACACCTTTCAATAGACAGTTTAATAAATTGAAGGAGACAGAGACCTAACAACAGTTTTGTTATTCCCCGACACTGATGAGCAAAATTCTGTTACTACAGTACAAAACATGTAAGGATGGAAGTGTTCTTGGCGTGACAGTGACAAGGATTGCATTACTGACCCATTGTCAAGCGCTCACCCAGGCATGTGGATACACAGAAGGTATTTCAACACTTTTAAAAAATGACTAAACTAGCTTCAGAAAATGATTTAGCATGATAGATTTTACCGGGTTTTGTTTTAAATAATTGGATGGAGACAATTATTCAATAGTCAGGAGCTAAGCTATTTCTCCCAAAAATTGGAAAGCAACTCAGCTTATTTCTTAGCCAAACTGATTTTTGAATCTTCCCAGAACTGTAGAGTCCTTGGGCAAAACTGTATTTGCCCTGGATTTTGTTGTTGTTGTTGTTTTTTGCAGTATTCTCTTACTGCAACAACAAAGAGATATTGTAGTGCAAGGTTTAAAATAGTTTAAAACTCTACCTCATACCTCAAAAGAAAATCCATTCTTCCCATCGACCCAGAAAAATGGAACAGAAAATCCTGGTTCTTTTTATGACAGAGTTTGCCCCTTTTTGTGCAATTACTAAGCTCACTTCAAGCTAGATTTGCCTGAAATGCTGCAAAACACAACCAGGATTAATAAAAACAAGAGCTGGATTCAAATATTCAGTTGAGATCAGGACCGCCAAAAGTTTATACAAGATAGAAATCTGTGGGATGCAATTTTTCTAAACTTCAGACTATCATCCAAGATGGACAACTTCAGAGTTGTAATTTTCATCTCTAATTAATATAAACTTCTCAAGCTTCTGAGATCTGTATTACCTACACATTTTGAAGAATTCTCTATAGGTGGAACAATCATTAATTTTGGAAATTATGAATTTCCTGCTCTTATTTTCAACATTTTCCACCTATTTTCAGAAGAATAAGTCACTGTGACATATTATGCAAATGACAATGAAGGAAAGAGAAATGAAGGACCAGATAGGTCAAAAGCAATGAGTCAGAATTGATTTACTTCAAATTGTTTTCAGGTTATTTAAAAAAATAAAAAAAGAGAATCGACTACATTGTAAGATGGAGTTTTTGATTGGCTGTACCTGGCATCCAGGAACTAATATTGGGTTTTTTTTTTGTCATGTAGCTGAAACCATTGTGAATGTCCTGGATTTCAAGAAAGATGTGGGTTTATGGCATGGCATCCTTACAGTAAGTCTATCGTTATTTTAAATAATTGCTTTAAAATGGGATGTTATAATTTACATTTCTATCAGAAATGCAAGTTGGCATCTTCTCAAGATGCACATCTTTTCCAATACTGAAGAGTGATAGTTTGAAGCTTGGTAGATAGAATTTTGCAGATATTCATATCTGATTTTAGAAGCCACTATTCTCCCATAATAAATATTTCAGAAAGCTGATAAGCAGTTTACCTCTGCAACTGTAGATATTCAGTCTATGAATGTCAATGTCTTAAGGAGGAGTTTTTGGCCCTAAAACAGGAACAGCCTCTCTCTACCAATTACTGAAATTGGCCCAGCCCATCTGCTAGTCTGGAGAATGCTGCTGCCTTTAGATGCCCACAATTTCACTTGTAAACTTTAGTCCTATCTAACTTAAGTAAGTTGAAGGCTAGGTTCACACTCACACTAAATTATAATGTACTTATCTGGAATTTGACTGATTTACATAAAGCTAGTCATTCTAGATAATTCAACATTCTGACTAATTAAAACAAGTCATGTCTTAGATGTGTGAACTCATTTAAAAAGGGACATTGGCTCAGAAAAATACCTAAAGCTGTGATACATATCACCATCAAACTTCAATAATATTATTTTTCATCTAGTGCTCAGGTTAAGAGTAAAGCAAAACTGGACAATTCTGTTCAACCCTCCATCATTCATAACTTCCTCTATATGGGTCACAATTTGATTTGTCCCCTCCTTGAAAAAAATCTCTCAGTCCCATCTGTCTGGACAGCATCTGTCCAATCTCCCATCTTTCCTTTTTAGAGAATATGCTATAGAAGGTGGAATATTTGGAAACTTTAGAGGATTCTGGATGAAACAGATTCCTTTCAGTCAGGTTTCAGTTCCAGTTATGGAATAGAAACAGCATTGCTCGCACTTGTGAATGATCTGTGGTAAGGGCAGGATGGGGATAGTTCATCCATCCATCCTTGCTTTCCTTGACTTCTCAATGGCTTTCAATACCATTGACCATGATATTCTTTTGAGTTGGCTGCAGAATTTGGGGCTGGGCAGTGTCCCAGGGTCAGTTCTAATCAGTGTTAATAGGGAGTGACAGATTTAGTCCATAGACTCTCAGGGCACTCTCCCATTCTTTCTGAACATCTACATGAAGTTACCAGTTGTCACCCCATGGAATGAGGTACAATTAGTATGCTGATAGTCAGCTTTACGTCAACACTTCTGGTGATCCAAATGATACTGCTGACTTCTCAGAGTGCCTGGAGGTTGTAGGGGTCTTGATAGGGAATAACAAACTTCAGCTGAACGCTGGTAAGACCAAGTGGCTTTGGTTAAAGTCCAGCTCCAGGACTTTAACATCTTTAATTCTGGATGGGGTTGGACTAACCAGACACACTGGTGCTCAATCTGTGGTTTCTCCTGGATTTGTAACTCATCAATCCCATTGCCTCCCATCTTCCATTTTTAGGGAAACTGGTGTAGAAGGTGGAATGTTTGGGAATTTCAGATGATTCTGGATGAAATAAATTCTTTCCAGTCAGGTTTCAGCTCCATTGCACTTGTGGATGATCTATGGCAAGGGCAGGATGACTTTGTTCTTTGCTCTCCTCGACTTCTCAGTGGCTTTCGATACATCAGCCATGGTATCCTTTTGGGCTACCTGTTGAATTTGGGCTGGGCGACACAGTCTTGCGCGGGTTCAACTCTTTTCTCCAAGGCCAGTCCCAATAAATGTTAATAGGGAATGAGAGGTTCAGTCCACAGCTGCTGCTTTGTGGCATGCCAAAGTTCTCAGGATTCTCCACTCCACTCCTTTTTAACATCTACATCAGTATTTTGACAATAATCAGCTTTACATCAACACTCCTGATGATTCAAGTGATACTGCTGGCCTCTTATAGTGTCTGGAGGTTGTGGGGGTCTGGATAGAGAATAACAAACTTCAGCTGAACCCTGGTAAGACCAAGTGGCTTTGGTTAAAGTCCCGCTCCAGGACTTTAGCATCTTTAATTCTGGATGGGGTTGGACTAACCACACTGGTGCTCAATCTGTGGTTTCTCCTGGATTTGTAACTCCTCAATCTGACTGTCTCCCATCTTCCCTTTTTAGGGTCCATGGTATGGAAGAATTTTGGGAACTTCAGATGAATCTAGATGAAATGGATTCCTTCCAGTTAGGTTTCAGGCCCAGTTATGGGACAGAAGTAGCATTGGTTGCACTTGTGAATGATCTATGGCAAGCGCAGGATGATGGTGTGCATCCATCCTTGTTCTCCTTGACTTCTCAGTGGCTTTCAATACTATTAACCAAGGTATCCTTTGTGTTGGCTGTGGTAGTTGGGGCTGGGAAGCATAGAATTGTGCTGGTTTGATTCATTTCTCCAAGGCCAGTGGTAAATTCCTCAATGCAGGAGGAGGCATTTCCAGGATGTTTTAAGGAAGCCTTGGTTTGTCGCCCCTTAAAAAAATCTTCTTTCAATTTCACTGTCTCCCATCTTCCCTTTTTAGGGTCCGTGGTATAGAAGATGGAATGTTTGGGAACTTTAGAGGAATCTAGATGAAATGGATTCCTTCCAGTTAGGTTTCAGGCCCAGTTATGGGACAGAAGTAGCATTGGTTGCACTTGTGGATGATCTATGGCAAGCGCAGGATGATGGTGTGCATCCATCCTTGTTCTCCTCGATTTCTCAGCGGCTTTCAATACTATTAACCAAGGTATCCTTTTGGGTTGGCTGTGGTAGTTGGGGCTGGGAAGCATAGAATTGTGCTGGTTTGATTCCTTTCTCCAAGGCCAGTGATAAATTCCTCACTGCAGGAGGAGGCATTTCCAGGATGTTTTAAGGAAGGCTTGGTTTGTCGCCCCTTAAAAAAATCTTCTTTCAATCCCATTGCCTCCCATCTTCCCTTTTTTGGGAAACTGGTGTAGAAGGTGGAATGTTCGGGAACTTCAGATGAATCTAGATGAAATGGATTCCTTCCAGTAGGTTAAACAGCATTGGTTGCACTTGTGGATGATCTATGGCAAGGGCAGGATGATGGTGTGCATCCATCCTTGTTCTCCTCGACTTCTCAGCGGGTTTCAATACTATTAACCAAGGTATCCTTTTGGGTTGTCTATGGTATTTGGGGCTGGGAAACATTGAATTGTGCTGGTTTGATTCCTTTCTCCAAGGCCAGTGATAAATTCCTCACTGCAGGAGGAGGCATTTCCAGGATATTTTAAGGAAGCCTTGGTTTGTCGCCCTTTGAAAAAATCTTCTTTCAATCCCATTGCCTCCCATCTTCCCTTTTTAGGTAAACTGGTGTAGAAGGTGGAATGTTTGGGAGCTGCAGATGATTCTGGACGAAATGAAATCTTTCCAGTCAGGTTTCAGCTCCATTGCACTTGTGGATGATCTATGGCAAGGGCAGGATGACTTTGTTCTTTGCTCTCCTCGACTTCTCAGTGGCTTTCGATACATCAGCCATGGTATCCTTTTGGGCTACCTGTTGAATTTGGGCTGGGCGACACAGTCTTGCGCGGGTTCAACTCTTTTGTCCAAGGCCAGTCCCAATAAATGTTAATAGGGAATGAGAGGTTCAGTCCACAGCTGCTGCTTTGTGGCATGCCAAAGTTCTCAGGATTCTCCACTCCACTCCTTTTTAACATCTACATCAGTATGTTGACAATAATCAGCTTTACATCAACACTCCTGATGATTCAAGTGATACTGCTGGCCTCTTATAGTGTCTGGAGGTTGTGGGGGTCTGGATAGGGAATAACAAACTTCAGCTGAACCCTGGTAAGACCAAGTGGCTTTGGTTAAAGTCCCGCTTCAGGACTTTAGCATCTTTAATTCTGGATGGGGTTGGACTAACCACACTGGTGCTCAATCTGTGGTTTCTCCTGGATTTGTAACTCCTCAATCTCACTGTCTCCCATCTTCCCTTTTTAGGGTCCATGGTATGGAAGAATTTTGGGAACTTCAGATGAATCTAGATGAAATGGATTCCTTCCAGTTAGGTTTCAGGCCCAGTTATGGGTCAGAAGTAGTATTGGTTGCACTTGTGAATGATCTATGGCAAGCGCAGGATGATGGTGTGCATCCATCCTTGTTCTCCTTGACTTCTCAGTGGCTTTCAATACTATTAACCAAGGTATCCTTTTGCGTTGGCTGCAGAATTTGGGGCTGGGCAGTGTCCCAGGGTCAGTTCTAATCAGTGTTAATAGGGAGTGACAGATTTAGTCCATAGACTCTCAGGGCACTCTCCCATTCTTTCTGAACATCTACATGAAGTTACCAGTTGTCACCCCATGGAATGAGGTACAATTAGTATGCTGATAACAAACTTCAGCTGAACGCTGGTAAGACCAAGTGGCTTTGGTTAAAGTCCAGCTCCAGGACTTTAACATCTTTAATTCTGGATGGGGTTGGACTAACCAGACACACTGGTTCTCAATCTGTGGTTTCTCCTGGATTTGTAACTCCTCAATCCCATTGCCTCCCATCTTCCCTTTTTAGGGAAACTGGTGTAGAAGGTGGAATGTTTGGGAATTTCAGATGATTCTGGATGAAATAAATTCTTTCCAGTCAGGTTTCAGCTCCAATGCACTTGTGGATGATCTATGGCAAGGGCAGGATGACTTTGTTCTTTGCTCTCCTCGACTTTTCAGTGGCTTTCGATACATCAGCCATGGTATCCTTTTGGGTTACCTGTTGAATTTGGGCTGGGTGACACAGTCTTGCGCGGGTTCAACTCTTTTCTCCAAGGCCAGTCCCAATAAATGTTAATAGGGAATGAGAGGTTCAGTCCACAGCTGCTGCTTTGTGGCATGCCAAAGTTCTCAGGATTCTCCACTCCACTCCTTTTTAACATCTACATCAGTATTTTGACAATAATCAGCTTTACATCAACACTCCTGATGATTCAAGTGATACTGCTTTCTCCAAGGCCAGTGATAAATTCCTCAGTTAGGTTTCAGGCCCAGTTATGGGACAGAAGTAGCATTGGTTGC